ACTGCCGACCTTCTGACTGGCAAGCCCTAGGCCACCCACAGTGCTACCCGCGTCCCTTTTGAGAACTTAAGTACATAACACTAAATGCCCCTCAGAACCCAGGAAGGCAGAGAGAAGGCCTCTGGCCCAAAGCAGCGCCTCCATGCTTTCTCAATGTGCTGCATCAGGAAGATTTGGGGCATCACGTGGCAGGACTCTCCAAGCCCCCATTCCCAGCATGTTCGCCTTTCTGTCCAAGTGACATCTGTGCTGGCTTGGTCATGAGCGCCGAATGGAAGATGCAGCAGACCCCCAAGGATGTGATCTCCGGGGAGCTGGCTTCTGGCCGTTGGCAAACGTGACAGGACGGCTGGCAACATCAGGCCTGCCATGTGGGAATCCCTTGCAGATGAGCATAGAGCCTGGAGATAGTCCTGTTGTGCATCCACAACAGTGCCCAGAGGAGGAATGACTGCTGGCAGGGGCAGAGAGAGAGGAAAGACCCTGGTGCATCAGCACAGCCGGTCGGGCACCTTCGCCTGCCCCAGATGCAACAAAACAGGCCTTTCCCACATCCGTCTCTACAGCCACAGCAGGCGCTGCAAGTCTTCAGCAGTTTGACTTCGCCCCCAGAGGAACCCCCCCCCCCCACTGTCTGCCAAGACAGACGGACGCCCACAACCACTGTCTCTGGACCTGGGGGTTCCATGAGAACATAAGCAGAGGGATGTGGGCCAAGCGGTGCCCGGGGCCACTTCTGCTTCTCCCACCACTCAGGCTCCTGGCGCTGCTGCTGGCACAGGGCTGCCTCCTGAGCCCACTGGTCCTGGTGAGGAGGACAGGAGTGTTGAACTTCTTCATCAAGACAGAGTGTGCGCAGTGAATGGAGCGTAGAAAGAAAAAGCTGCCCACAATATCTTTTCTTAGTTTTATTTCCAAAAACATAACAGCCAAACGCTGCAAGCCACCACTCCTCCTCACCGGCAGCTTACAAGACATTTGATCAAATTCAATGCAGTTTCAATTAACCAATTATCTTATCACATCCCTTCCTGCACCCGGTGCAGAAAGTAACTCCCCTTTTAATTAGGCAAAAAGTCGAGAGACCACAGGTGTGCAGCTAAGCAGGTCAAACTGCAAACATACACCTCTGAAACCAACCTGGTTCCTGGGTATCATTATTCACCTCTTTAAGATAAAGAAAAACCAACAGAGCCTTCTGGATCAGGCCAAAGGGACGGTCTAGTCCTGCCTCCTGTTCTCCCTGTGGCCGACCAGATGCCCTGAAGCAAACCCTGCGAGCAGGACCAGATTACAAGAGCTCCCTTCCCTCCTGTAGTCACTGGTATTCAGAATCGGAGCAGAGCTGTCTTGCCTAGTGGGCATCCATAGTCTTGCTTTCCTCCGTTAATTGCCCAATCCTCTTTTAAAGCCATTGAGGTTGGTGGGCACCCCCAGTTTTACTCTGTGCTGTGTGAAGGGCTTTCTGTTCTCTGTCCTGAATCCTCCAGCGTTCAGTTTCATGGGATGCCCACGAGGGAGGGGGAAAAGCTTTCCTCCCTCTGCTCTCTCTCGGCATAATCTTACACACCTCTCTCCTGTTGCCGCTTACACTTGCCTTTTCTCTAAACCCCCAAATCCCAAACGTTGCCGCCTTCCTTTAGAGGTGAGTCCCAACGAGACTTGCCTCTCCGCCTGGCAGACCGGGGAATGGACCAGCTGCCGCAAAGCAGCTAAAAGGCTTTGGCATGTGGGTCACTCCTGCCCCCAGCTCTCGGGAGAAAGAGCCCGATCAAGGGGAGCAGAATTTCCAAAGGGACAGAGGCACTTCACCCCCTGGAAAGAGCAGGGGAATTTGCAGTTATTGTCTGCCTGGAAACGGGATTGTGAAGTGCTGGAAGTTCCCAGCTGCATGCATTGAGTGCACGTTGGCCGGAAGCACAGGCAGCTTTGAAGGTGCCCACTGGAGATGTGTGCGGATGAATTTATAGCTCTGAGGTGCTGCACTTGCAAGACTCGCAGGCCGGGGAAGTGGAACTGGCCAGCAGTGGCTGAGCTGGCCGCTCAGGGCGTGCCTAGGTGACCTGCAGCTCAGTCTGGCGTTGGCCTGGTTTCGAGACCTGGGGGGGCCTCTGCCTCCCCGCTTCCTGGCGCAGGCGGAATGACAGCCCACCTCACTCCCAGGAAGGCGGGCTGGGAAGCTCTGCTGCTGCTCACAGCCTTCCAAATCGTGTCCCCAGCAAGGAGAGCGTGGGGTGAGCTGAGTCCTGGGACTATGACTTTAGCCAGTTTTAGCCGTGCACTTGACCACAGGGATACCTCTTCCCCTCGGGGCTTTGCAGGCTCACTTAGGTGTCATCCTGACCCACACAGTAAAGCGTTTGCCAAAGCCGAGTTGGGAGTCGGAGGGCTGGGCCACTAGGCTTTCTACTCTCAGCTCAGCTTAAGGCTTTCACTAAGAAATTCTTACATCAAGAATCATAAGTTGGCGGCAACTGCTGGAGAAGTCGAGGAGGCGTAAGTGGCGTCCCCTGGGGGCTGGGGGGCATCAGTTGTGTGGGGAAGGGGCACCGGAGGCCCTCAGCTCCCCACCTTGGTCACAGATCTCACAGCCAGGATCAGGCCTCACGGATAGCTCAGTTGGTTTCAGCTGAGTGCTGAGAACACCCAAGTTGCAGGTTCGGTCCCTGTGTGGGGCAGCTGCACATTCCTGCATTGCAGGGGGTTGGACTAGATGATCCTCAGTGTCCCTTCCAACTCTGCCATCGGTTTTATGATCCCACAACTGGGACAGTTCAGACTGCATGATTCTTTTTCTTCCTTGCATATGTTGTAAACAAATATCTGCCCTTTTTTCCCTTGTGGGGTATCCAAGAGCCCATATAGAGTCCTTATGTAGGTTCCTTATTGGTAGGAGGAAATAACAGAGGCCAAGCAGAGAATATTGAGAAGCAAAGCAGCTAGTAAGCCTGATCTTTATTGATCTGTTGCAACAGGGTGCTCCCCTCACATGCAGGAAAGGAGGAGGACCCAAAACAAAAGTATGCCTGCCTTTATATAGACATTTTAAATTCCCTTCCTGGAGTCCAAGATCACCCCCAGATACATCATACCTACATCACAGAAAAGGCAGTCTACAGCAGAAATCTGAGTGTGTTGTTTATCTCCTCTGACAGGTTACCTGTTAATGGTCACTTGATTGGATTCCCTGGGGAGCCTGGCCAGTCTTTTGTAATGATAAATACTTAGTTCCTGAGCCAGGTCACAGGCTCACACCCTATTCATACACAGATATACCCTTAAGACAGGATTTTTGAAGGAAAAGACAATGGGGAGGCTTTTCCATTTTCCTTTGACCTTGCAGAGAAAACATTTGGTCAGTTTCAGAATCAAAAATGGTTTCAGGTCGGTCTTCCTGTGCTGATCTATGGTTGGTACATTTATGAACATTTATTATATATCTAAGACTTCAAAATTCTTATCACACATAAATTGAGAAAGGGTGGTGATGGTGGCAAGCAGTGCTTTGCAAAAGAATACTGGAAGGAGGGAAAGAAAGAAGGGAAGAATCTGGATGTGAGTTGAAGGAAGCCTCTGGAGCTGGAGGAGGCGGGAGTTTTGCGCACCTGCAGCAATCTCTGCCCTCCGAGACAGAGGCGCCCGTCCTCTGAGCCTTGTGCAATTCGTGGAATTTGCAGGGTGCGCCTGGGTGGGCTTCCTCATAGCTGGCGGTCTGGGAGCACAAAGCCCTTCTGTCCCAGCCGCCCCACCCCCATCTGCCTGGCCAGATCTTGGCTGTGGCTTCCTCTTCCAGATCCCACGCCTGCCAGCTGAGTTGGGCAACATTTGCTCTGGCTGGTGCTTCAGAAAGTCAGGATTGGGCCTGGTCGTTGGGCAGCTTTTGCTGCAAGTCCCACCTCTCTTGTTTAACTGACCACTGCAAGAACCTTCCGGATTGCCTGCTTGCGAAATCCACAACAAACAAAGTTGGCCTTTAACAAGCTCCTCTTGGCTGGGGTGAATCTCCAGCAACCCTGGAAGTTGCTTTGGAGAAGACCTGTTCTATGTTTTGCAATGCAAACCATTTTAAAGAGAGGCCTGTGGTAATTGCTGTGCCTAAGACAGACTTTCTGAGGGCTGGTGAGCAGGTGGTACAGTCATCGCGGCAGCCACCCCCACTCCAGATGCCCTATGCAGAGTTCCTTCCGATGGGGGCACTTGCCATCCTTCAGCTAGAACACCCCTACGCAGACGTGACCCACGAGTTTGGGACCAGGCCAGGCGTTCCAGGGGTTGCACAGCCGGTGCCTCTCATAGCAACATCCAGATTTATAATAATAGTAACAATTTAAATTTATTATTTGTACCCCGCCCATCTGGCTGGGTTTCCCCGGCCATTCAGGGCGGCTTCCAGCAAAGATGAAAAATACATTAAAATGTCACACATTAAAAACTTCCCTGAACAGGGCTGCCTTCAGATGTCTTTTAAATGTCAGGTAGTTGTTGTCTTTGACATCTGATGGGAGGGTGTTCGGCAGGGTGGGCGCCACCACCAAGAAGTCCCTCTGCCTGGTTCCCTGTAGCTTTGCTTCTCGCAGGGAGGGACCCCCCAGAAGGCCCTCGGAGCTGGACCTCAGTGTCCGGGCTGGAGGATGGGGGTGAAGACGCTCCTTCAGGTATACTGGGCCAATTGTTATTGGGAAGAAAGCTTCTCTCTTGTCTTAAATGAGCCAGACAGACTTGCACAGGCAGATGGCACTGAGGGATCAGGTGCCTCGGCAGGCATTTGAATAAGAAACTAAAATCCTGCCGTACATGAAGAAAAAATCATGTTTATTTGTTTTGGGCCGGCCATAGATCAAGGCCGAACATTTGCCCTCCCCCACGTCTATGGAATGGGCAGGAGCCCCACACCTTTTCCCGTAAGCCTCCCTTCTTCTCCCCCCCTCAGTGCCCCAGAGGCAGCCTCTGCCCCGAAGGCCTTTTGCGGAAAGAGTTAATCGAGTGCGGATTGTGCAACTCTCCTGGGCTGGGAAATCCCTCCTCTCTGCTGATATAAGAGGTGACAGGGCCTGGCCTCGGGGCTCTGCTGCTGCAGACTGGAGCACATCATGCGCAGCCCCTTGGGAGCCCTCTGCCTGAGCTGGGCCCTGGCCCTGGCCCACCCCCTGTGAGTGCCAGGAATGGGGCAGGGGCTCTGTTTGGGCCTTCGCCCCGGGGGAGGAAGGAGGTGGCTAAGTGGGAGAGCACCTGCCTTGCATGCAGAAGTCTCAGATCCAATCCCCAAAGGCAGAAGTCTCCCAGACCCTCCACCTGAAGAGCTGCTGCCAGCCGGTGTGAGCACTATAGAGCTAAATGGATCTGTGGTCTGACTAAGGCAACCTGCTATGCTTGCAGGCTGTCAGTTGAGGAGGCTGCAGAGGAAGGGCTCAGCTTTTGGGCCCAAGGAGAGGAGGGGGGTGGCTCTGCTGCGGGGGTCTTCTCTCCCTAGACCCCCCTGGAGCAGCCTCCACTGTGCCCCCATGTCCTCTTCTGGGAGCTGACCTGAGGCTGGGGCTCTTTCCGCCAGAGCATCCCTGCTGGGGCCCCACAGCTGCTGCAGAGACCCACGGCCAGCTGCTAACCGGGGTTTTCTGTTTGGCAGGGGTCACGGGAGCAGCAAGTTCAATGGCACTGGCGGCAGCAGCTGGCACCACTCGGCCTCACAGCCTCCGCTCAACGACACAGGTGGGCTTTGCCAATGGGCACCTTCTCCAGAGGTCCTTCTCCTCCTTTGCTCTGGGCACCCCCTTCTGTCTCCCTGCCCCACTCCCCGCTTGGTGCGATGCAGACAATCAGAGAACTGCAAAGCTGGGAGGGACTCAGGGGTCATCAAGTGGGGGAATCGCAGCCAAATAAACCCTCTGACAGGCACTGGTTGTGCCCACCACTTTCTGAGGGTACATTTTGGCATTTTTCTCATTTCTGGGGGCACGGGGCTGGCTGGTATATCAATATATCATCCCAAATATATCATCCCAAACTGGTTTGAAGTCCATATCATGATTTTGCTTTTATAGTTTTTGACCTGGCGATATATCGCGAATAATGATGTGTTTGTGTGCGCTATGCAAAAATCACCATGTGGGGAAAGCCATGCAGCCAGCCAGGGCCTCTCCATAGCCCCATCCTTATCTCAGACCTCGTGAGATATCGGTGCATCGCGATGGTTCACTGGTGATCTATCGCGATGCTCTCTGCTTCTTCCAGAGACCGCCAGGCGCTGTGCCAACGAGGAAGGCTTTGACGCCATCACGCTGGACGAGAGAGGCAACATGCTCTTCTTCAAAGGTAGCCTGCACCTCGCACCCGTCTCCCTGCACCCACTGGCGGAGGAAGAGGGGTGCAGGGGCGGTGCACCACCCCCAGTGGCACAATCCCGATGGGGTGCCATCACGGCTGCCCCCCGCTGGCTGCCATGCCCCTGCAGGCGGTGCACCACAGGACGTGACACGCATCAGCCACACCCCCCTGTCTGCTCTCTGCCCCCCTCCACCACTGCCTTCACCCCCTTTCTTCCCATGGTGTGAGGAGGGGGTTGGCCGAGGGGTTGCTATGGGGAGGTCTCTGTGAGATGTGGGCCCAGGAAGGTCAGGATGCTGACCAAAGGATGCTTTCCTAGGGGCTGCTGAAGCCAGGTCAGCCCCCCTGGAGCTCAGCCGTGGGCCCCAGCAGGTGCCTCTCCCTGAGTCTCCCCTTCCTCCCCAGGGGACGTGGTCTGGAAGGGCTTCAGTGGGCCGGCCGAGCCCCTCAACGCCTCCTGGCCCCAGATCCAGGGGCCCCTCGATGCCGCCTTGAGGATCCACCACCTGGACCAGCCGGTTGCCCACGACAACGTCTACCTCTTCCAGGTGGGGGCTCAGACACAGTCGGGCCAGGGGGTGACTGCCCCCCAACCAAAGAACCCCTAACCTTCCCTGGGGCAGCGGATCTGCAAGGCAGGAGGGCCCTCCCAGCCAGGGGTGCTTTTGTGCCCTGGATGGGAAGGTGTGGGGCACCCCAGTGCTGTGGGGACGGGGACTGGGGGCTGCCAGGGGCAGGATGCGGAGGCAAGTGGGGTGGGCGGGCTCTCTCTCCCACTGAGCTGCCCCACCCATGGGGAAGGGAGGCGGTGGGGCAGCCACTTTTTGCACCCTGTGGTCCTTGGCTGAGATGGAGGGTGTGCCCTGGTCTCCCTGCAGGGCCCGTGGGTCTGGGCTTATGCCCAGGGCAAGCTGAGGCCCGGCTTCCCCCGGCGCATCGAGGAAGAGTTCAGAGGGGTGCCGGGGCCCCTGGATGCCGCTGTGGAGTGTCACCCCAAGGAGTGCGCGGCCGCCACCGTCCTCTTCTTCAAGGGTGAGCTGGATCGTGTCTCCTGGGGGGCTCAGGAGGAGGGCCAGATGCCCCTGGGAAGAAGGGGGTCCTGGCGGGGGAAGGGACCCCAGAGGTCCTCTAGTCCAACCCCTGCAATGCAGGAATCGTGGCTCAAGCCCCCCCCCTCCGCCAACAGAGGGCCATGCGCCTCCCAGCGTGGGGAGAATTCACCTCTGTGCCACCTTGTTGGTCACCCAGGTGAGGAACAAGCACCTTTTGAACAATCCACAGAGCCAAGGAAACACTTTTCAAGTCCAGCCTCTGGATTTGGGGACCAGCATAGATTATAGCTATTGTGATAGGACAGAGCTTACTCTGGCCAGCCGCCTCCCATGTTAACGGAGAAGTCTGAGGCTCCCTTGGACAAAAAACAAGGACAGCGGCCAGGAATAGTAGAGCAAATTGGTCTTGATTGAAGACGGTCACCAGGTGGAACAAGATGGAAGCCCAGAACAACAGAGCCCCCAAACATTTATTAGCTGCTAATCCCCATGTTACACCCCCCAAACTACATCACTATTACATCATGAATGGGGAGGTCTGGTGGCAGGAATCTGAGCATCCTGGACCCTGCCCCATGGTTCCCCTTGCCCTCCACCAAACACCCATGGAGTGTCACATGGGTCAGAAGGAGAGCCGGCCTGTGGCTGGATCAGGCCAAAGGGTCCCATTGGCCCAGCACCCTCTTCTCGCAGCCGCCAGCCAGATGCTCAACAAGGGACTTGAGCATGAGCGCCTCCTAGTGGTGCAGCAGTAGAACTGCCGGCACATTTGCAAAGCTAAGCAGGGTCCGGTCTGGTTTCGCATTGGATGGGAGACCAGGGCACTGCAGGGGGTTGGACTAGATGCCCCTTGGGGATCCCTTCCAACTCAGCAATTCTAGGACTCTCTGTTTGCCTGACTTGCATGGAGGCGTCAGCCGCTGAGCCCCCTTCTCTGCTCTGTCTCCCGCAGGCCCCCTGGTCTTCTCCTACGACTTGGCCACCGGGATGGTGAAGCAGCGCTCCTGGCCGGCCGTGGCCAACTGCTCCTCCGCCGTGCGCTGGCTGGAGCGCTATTACTGCTTCCAGGGCATCCAGTTCTTGCGCTTCGACCCCGTCACGGGCGAGGTGCCCCCCAAGTACCCGCGGGATGCCAGGGACTACTTCATGCGCTGCCCGGGAAGAGGTGAGCTCCCCCACATCCCTGCTGCTGTGCTTGGGGTGCTCAGAGAAGGGAACATCTATCTCCCCACAAGCCAGCAGGCGCAAGCCCCACTGAGCCTCCCAACCCCCTGTGGGGCTGGTCTTGCATGCGAGGAGACGGCAAAGAGGGAATCTGGAGGTGCCAGAAACAAAAAGCCCCTCCTCTCCTGCAAGATGTGCTGTGCCAGAGTCCACAGAAGCCAAAGGCGGCTGCGAGGAGCTGTGGTTTGGGGAGACCAGGGCGCCTGGGCACCCTTCTCCCCGAGTGGGCAGTCCCGGCTGGGCAGCTGTGCAGGGCCTGCCGGCAAGGAGCAACTGCCCTGCGATGCCCACTCAGCCTGGCAGCTTGTGGCAGCCCAGCCAGCTGGACGGCCCGTAGGCCGGGGTGGGGAGGCTGCATGGGCTGAGCTCAGCGGGGAGCCCCTCTGGAGCCCAACTCCAGGCCTTGGCATAGGGGGCAGCACGAGAGGCCTGTGGCTGCTTCTCCCTGGGCCAACTTGCTTACAGTCCAAATTGCCTTTGGCCCCAGGGTGGGGGGCATCTGCAAGGCCCCCCCCCGCCAAACAGCCCTCAGGGGAACAGGCCAAATTGCGCATGGATGAAGATGGGGCGGCGGCTTCACCTGGAAAGGACTTCAGACAAAGATACTGTCTCACCTGTGGTGGGGGATCAGTGGGGCAGCCTTTGCCCTTCTGGGGCACCGGCTGTGGCTCTGGGGCAGTCAGATTCAGGAGCTGTTTTTGCCCATGGACAGAGCTGTTTCTCAGGGCCCCAATCCCCCCCCCGGGAGTTTCTGCTCTCAGCTCCTCTCTCTCTGCATTGCTTCCCCTTGACCCCTGGCAGGCCACGGGCACGAGGCACAGGCCAATGCCACCCTCCGGGCAGCCATGGACCCCTGCAGCGGGGAGCCCTTCCAAGCCTTCTCCTCGGACGACTTGGGGCGCATCTATGCCTTCCGCGGTGAGCAAGCGGGGACCCCCTGGCATCATGGGGGTCAGGGCAACAGGGGGCTCGCTGTCAGAGGAGGGGGCTGGGCCAGGCTGGGACGGGAGGGCGAGGGTTGGGGGGCTCCCCTTCCACTCTCATAGCCCCGGGGAGGTTGGAGACCCTCAAGTGGAACCCAAATGGTGGCTGGCTGCCCCCCCCCAGGGAGCTGGAGGCATGAAGCCCCCCTCCATTTCCCCTCCTGCCAGGGGGGCAGTATCTCCGCGTGGACTCCTGGCGCGACGGCTGGCATGCCTGGCCTCTCAGCCACACCTGGAAGGGCCTGGAGGGGGATGTGGACGCCGCCTTCAGCTGGGAGGACAAATTCTACCTGATCCAGGTATGGGGGGCAGGGCAGCTGGGGGGGGAAGATACACCTCCCTTATCAGGAGGAATATGGGAACGGGTGCCAGCCCTGGGGGAGGGCAGGGGTCAGCTCTGTCCCCCATCTCTGTGGTCTGGCCAGAAGACGGGGCCTAAGAGGTCCGAGGGAGCCATGGAGTCTCAAGGGGGGGGGTCTCTAACCTCTCATAGGATGAGTGAACTGCTACATAGGGATTCCTCTTCCTTTGCCCACCAGAAGGCAGGTGCCCCCTCCCAGTATTAAGCTTCTGGCCCATCTCTCCCCACCAACTGCCACCACACTTCCCATAGGGAGGCTCAAAAATGGACACCCCCATGGTGCAACTGGGGAACAGAAATGCAGCTATGCTTTTGTTCACTGAAACCCCCCCAGAAAAGCCCATCTGTTGGTTGAGGCCAAAGGGGGCCCACCCAGTCCAGCCTGCTGCCCCCACAGCAGCCATTATGGGAAGCCCCCCGAGGGGGACCCCAGCTCAGCACAGAATCCCAGAAGTGAAGAGTTGGAAGGCAGGGACCCCCAAAGGTCCTCTATCCCACCCCTGCCAGGCAGCAGCCGCTTTCCCCGCCTGCCATTCCCTGCAGCTGAGCCAGAAGGCGGAAGGTGCCTGAGGGGCTGGGAGGCGGCTGGGGCCCCCCACCCTGTGGGACTGGCGGCTTCCCCCTCCTGCTCTCGCCCGCAGGGCTCTGAGGTCACCATCTTCCGGGCCGGCTCTGGCTACAGCCGCGTGGAAGGCTACCCCCGGCCTCTGCAGGAAGAGCTGGGGCTGCCGGGCGTGGATGCGGCCTTCACCTGCCCTCAGGCCAGCGACCTCTACGTCTTTCAAGGTATTTGGGGTGAGGAGGGCCTCATTCTGCAAAGCGGGAGGTGCTTAGACCCAGGTGCATTGTGGGGGGTGCTCAGTGCCAGGAAAGAGGGCCGTAGCTCCCCACATACGGAGAGGAAAGGCTTTGGCCTGAAAGCCTGGGAAGCAGCTGCCAGCCTGTGCAGAAAGCACTGAAGGAGATGGAGCAGCACTCTCCTTGCCGTTGGGCAGCTTCCAGGGGACTCCTCTCGAGGCAAGCAAGAGCCGCTGAGCCCCCCAGGCCTGGGAATCCTGGAATGGCTGAGTTGGAAGGGGCCTCCAGTGGTCATCCAGTCCAGCCCGCTGCCGGGCAAGAGTCCCAGGCAGGCTGCTTTCTCACATGCAGGCAGGCACAGCCGCGTCTGTGGGCAGGAGATGGCCACTCACTTCTGGGTGGGGTCTCTGGCCAGGCGAGGGGGGGTCTTCTCCCTCCAGAGGCCCAGAACGGCCCTGCATGGTTGAGGGGTGAGGTGGGGGCAGGGAGAAGAGGGCTGGGGGCTCTGCAGGCAGCTCCAGGGACTGGCACCGGGGGCCTGACCTGATTCCTCCCCCCAGGAAACTCCATGAAGCTGGTGGACCTGCAGAGGAGCCCCCGCCTGCCAGGCCCAGCGCTGGCCACCCCCCACGACCACGTGGACAGCGCCTTCTGCACCGCCCAGGGGGTCTTCCTTTTCCAGGGGCCCAACTTCTACCACTATAGGAGTGTGGACCATCTCCTGGGGGCCCCGGGGCCCGTGCCTGCCCAGAACACGGCTGCGGATGTTTTCTGGTGCCCCATGGCAAGGGGCAAGGGCCCCCCAACGCCCCACTCCCCAGACATGAATAGCAGGGCCCCTTCCTCTGTGCGACTGCCATAAAACTTAGGGAACAAGCTGTACTACCAAAATGATTAAGGTTTTAAATGATAATTGTAGGTTATATTTTAGTGATCAAGATTTAATATATGTTTTTAACTGCCGCTATATCTGAATTATCTCTCTTATACCCAATTGTATCCCTGTTGTGTTTTATGATTTTCCTGATATTGTAAGTGACCCGGAACTGGTCTGTGACCGTAATAATAGATTCTGATTCAGGGCCCCTTCCTGCCCTGAGGTGACCCACCAGCTCCCACGCTCCCCCCCAGGAGCCCTGACCCACTGCACCCAATAAAAGCCTCTGCCTGGTGCCCACCGTCTGCCTGTGTGTTGGGGGCTTCCAGGTGATGTGTTTGCTGCACCTTCATCCCAGCAAGAGTCGCCCCCTCTCCCTTTCCCAGTCCGCCTCTCATTGCCTTCCTCATTGCAAAATGTTTGGGTCAAGGCGGGTTCCCTGTGCCAGAGATGCCCCCCTCCCAGGGCAACCTGCATTTGTGGGAATGTGACTGTATCCCACCCTCCCACCCCTCTGGATGCCGAGTCCCCTGAGCTGAGAGAGCGGCCAGGTCAGGATTGTCTCTGGGCAGGGGAGGGTCCTGGGTTCAAACGGTGGCATCGCCAGGAAGGGCCGGCAGAGACCCCTGGGGCACTGCTGCTGCCAGTCAGTGCAGGGAATACGGCGCCAGATGGGCCCAGATTCAGTATCAGTGCGGGAGGGCGCAAGAGACCAGGCTGGGCGTAGCAAAAGGACCTTTTATTCGAGGGCTTCCCTTCCGCGGGGCTCAGCCGAAGATGCAGACGGTGCCCGAGGCCAGGCGGTGGCGGTACTCGTGGCGGAGGCTGGCGGCCTGCGGGAAGGTGCTCTTCATCTCCAGCTTGCCGGGCACCACCAGGAGGGTGACTCCGGGCCCCAGGCCCTCGGCCAGCTTCTGCAGCAGGCGGCGGGCCAGGTAGCCGGCGGCTCGCGTCGGCTCGGCCTCCAGGCTGGCGTAGACCTCCGGGGGCGGGTTGGGCAGCTTCCACTCCAGCTCGCCGATCAGCTGGTGGGTGCGGGCGCGGTCGAGGGCGCCGGGGCTCTCCCCATAGCAGGCCACCACGTGCAGCCCCCCCGGGGCGCGGGCGGCCACGAAGCTGCCCTGCGCCAGGACCTCCTCCTCGCCGCCACCGCCGCCCTCCTGCCAGGCCATCACCGCCCAGCGCAGCCAGTCGTAGTTCTCCTCCAGCTTGCGCAGGACGCTGGATGCCAGCTGGGCCGGCCCGGGGGGCACCGCGGGCACCTCGGCCAGCGCCCGCTCGACGTCCTGGCGCGCCTGCTCGGGGAAGTAGCGGGCGCAGGCGGCCAGCGCCTCCTTCATGCGCCGGTGCGCGGCGCCCACGCGCTCCTCCCAGACGGCCAGCAGCAGCGCCGGGTCGCGCTGGGTGAGGCCCGCCTGGCACAGCAGGCACAGCAGCCCGGCGCCCAGCAGCGCGTTCAGCTTCTGGCACACGCCCGCCATCTGGGGCCTCCGCGGCCGGTGCGCCTCGACGGCGCGCTCCAGCACCGGGCGCTGCGCCGCCGCCACCCCGCAGCCCTGCACGCGCCGCCAGGCGGCCAGCAGGCGCCGCTCCAGCTTCTCGCGCGCGCACGCGGCCACGAAGAGCTCGGCCTCGCGCGCCGCCGACGCTGTGCCGGAGGCGCGCGCCGCCAGAGCCAGCTGCTCGAAGGCGACCGACACGCCGTCCTCGCAGGCGCCCAGCTCGCCCGCGCCGTCCAGCGCCAGCCCCGGACCGGCGGCCAGGTCGCGCTCCAGCAACGCCAGCTCGCGGCGGACGAAGGCCGCCTCCTCCGGGGTCGCCGAGCCCCGCAGCAGCGAGGCCGCGCCCAGCGCCAGGGAGCGCAGCGACTGCAGGAAGCCGGTGGGCTCCAGGCACTGCGAGAAGAGCGCCATCCGCAGGCGGGGACGGGAGCCTGCAGAGGGAGAGAGAGAGAGAGAGACGGGGGTCAGGGAGGCCGGCAAGAAGGCGAGCCCTCTCTTAAGACCCCGGCTGCTGGATCGGGGCCATGTGGTCGAGCAGCCTATCACTGAAAGGGACCTGGGGTCATCTAGTCTAACCTCCACGGAAGGAGAGCCCCCCGCCCCCAGTTGCCTGCCAGGTGCCCCTTACGGGAGCCTCTTCCCCTCTTGCGATTCCCAGCCACGGGGAGGCAGAGTCGAGTCACCAGGGCTAGGAGCCATCCAATAGCTCTCTCCCATCATTGACTCCTGTGGGAGGGAGTTCCACAGTCTAACCATGTGCTGCATAAAGAAAGACTTTCCTTTTTTTTAGGAAGGGGGAGGCTGGGACCCAATCTCTGTCCGGGTAACCATCCCTTCTTCTGCTCCTAATGCAGGCATAGGCAAACTCCGGACCTCCAGATGTTTTGGAACTACAATTCCCATCATCCCTAGCTAACAGGACCAGTGGTCAGGGATGATGGGAATTGTAGTCTCAAAGCATCTGGAGGGCTGGAGTTTGCCTATGCCTGTCCTAATGCATTGTGAGTCAGAGAAGAGCAGCGAGCCACTACCCACTGCGCATGCTCAGAGAATCCCTGGTCCAAGGAAGGAGAAGGCGCCTTGGAGTCTTTGAGGCCAAGTCTTAAGGCAGCCTTGGCCATCTGGGCACTCTTCACATGCTCTGGGCTGGCAGCTCCCACCAGCCGCTGCATCATTCGGCTGCGATGGCTCAGACTGTTGGGAGTTGGGAATGCTCAGAGGGCGCCGCGTTGGCCAAGGCTGCCACGAAGCCTTCCTCAGCACCGGAGGAGGCCAGCTGGGTGAGCCTCCGGCTTAGGGGCTGAAATCTGTGAAGGGGAGGACTGCTGGCACACCCACCCTCTGCCCAAATAACCCTGGGAACTGCCCCCTGCAATTCCCAGCACCCTTTACAAAATAGGGTTCCTAGGAAACTTGCTAAAGGGAGCTTCCAAGGCCAGAGGCAGTCTACCTCTGAATGCTGCTAGTTCGGGGGGGGCAGGAAGGCCCTTGAACCCAGATGGAAGCTTGGATACAAGCCCCCCAGATTAAGTGGGGCTCCCCAGCTGGAGCGAGGCCACCCCTCACATATTTCTCAGCCTGGCCTTGTGCTCCTGCCCCACAAGAGCTGGGAGGGAGGGGGAATGCCCTGAGGGGCTGGCCTGATGCCACCCCTGGCTCCCTCCCTCCCAGCCTTGGCTGCCTCTCCTGGCCACCCAGGACCTGCCCTTGGCAGCCTCGCAGCAGCCCAGGCGCTGCCTTGCCCTTGTGGCGCCTGGCAAGGGCGGGCAGGGAGCGGGGAGTCGGGGCCCTGCCTGGCACAGGCTTGGAAGTGACTCGGTTCTTCTTCTTCAAGGGCAGCCCCAGGGAGTGGCTGGCAGTGCCAGGACCAGGCTCCTGCCTGCCTCATGCAGCCCGTGGGGGGGGGGGTGGCTTCCGCACTAACCAGCAGCCCAGGCTGCACATGGCAGGGAAGCTGCGGAAACTCTTCCCTGACGCCGTTTCTTGTTGGCATAAGAAGCAGTTTCCTTCCCTCCAAAGAGTGCTGATATTTAACAGGGTTGAGCCACCAGATGGGCAAAGGGCTCCCCATTCTAGCTGGGGGTCTGTGACCCCAAGAAGAGCCGGACAAAGGTCCCCTGGCCTGTTTTTGGTCTGGTGCTCTCACCCC